AATGGTGGACTGTGTCGTATTTGAGGAAGAATTCCCACGTTGGCTTGGTAGGGGTCCTCAACCTAGTAGTAGTAGTGGTGCTTGTTTTAGGTCCCCCCATAAATGTTGAGGATCAAGCATGGATGATTGTCTTTTTTTTGTAATTGATTTTGTTCCTCAATAAGTCGAGCAACCCCTATCGTGCCTGCCAAGTTGTGAGGTTGTTTAATTTTCACGTCATGAAGTAACCAACAAGGAAAATTTCAGGTAACTCGTATGCTCTATGAGAAATCCTTTCAAACGCCTCATGATAAGTTGTTATATTCGTTGTTTGCTTCAGCCAAGTTAGAGCTTTTGAAAGATCTCTTCATGGTCGGTTGGTCAAAGCGTAAGAGAAAGGCCTTGGTGAACTCCTTCCAAGAGAGAGGACCTCTTAATTTTGTCAACCACCGATGCCATTGGAGAGCCACGCCTTCCAAATGGAAAGAGGCGAGTTGAATCTGTTGATTGACTCCAACATCTTTAAACTCAACATATTGTCCGACCTTATAAATCCATCTGGATGGGTCCTCAACACCGAATTTAGGAAAATTCAACTTGAGGTGATGGTGAGGGTCATTTGAGGTGTTGGATTTGATGGCTTTGAGGGATGTTTCCAAACTAAAGAATGGATTATTTCAGGATGAGAATTCGATCCCGAGCCAGGAACTCTTAATGCTTGCAAATTAGTTAATACAGTTTGTTATGTAGCATGGATCTGATCAAAATTAGATTCATGTCGAGCCAATGCTTCATTCACATTGTTCTGGAATTCAGCTTTATCATTGTTTTGATACCAATGATAAGATAGAATTTGAGTAGAGGAGAAAAAGAACGGATGAAGTATTGTCAATTTGCGTAAACCTTTATTGAAAAAATAAATTAAATACTATTTACAATAGTCTTACATTACAAGGAAATAACCACAACACTATATAAAAGGAAAAAACTACCCACTAAATCAGTGTTACGTTCCGGTGAGAAGGAGAGTTAAGGTGAGAAGCATAAGAAGGGATCTCCACCCTTGGATGCACATTAGGATGAGATGGACCAAGATGAGATGCACCAGATCAATCCTCGTATCAAGTGTGATTCATGGGTGAGTTTAAGATTAAAGGTGATCAAGGGTCCAGATCCCTTCTTACGCTTCTCACCTTAACTATCTTTCTCACATGATCTTTCACCTACTAAATCATTATCCCAAAGACTAATTCCACCAATACACTTAGGGTGCATTTGGTTTGCAGAATGGAATTTGGTGGAATTGAATCCATCAAAGGAATTTGACTTAGAAGGAATTGGAATGGAATTTGACCACTCATTTGGTTAGTAGGAATTGGAATGGAATCTTTCAAAAAAAAAAAAACTGGAACCTCCATCTTTGTTTGCACCACCCCCATCCTGCCCACCTCCGTCCCCGCCCACCCCACCCATACCGACCAACATGCCACTATTGTCGTCGTCATAGCTACCACCTCACCCAACCCTTGCCCACCCCCTAT